CAGTGATCTGGCGCCACCTTAACTGGCAGCATTGGGAGGAAAGTCTGCATGTGCCGGGACAATCCCTACTCTGTGCTCCCGGATCAGCCGCCGTGACGGGAACCTCCCCCGATCCAGACTATGAAGAGTTAACGCTGAATACAGAGAAGCTGCTGTCACTGCCGGAGGATTTGTAGTTCTGTCCATCCAGTCCTGAGATTGATACAGCTCGGCCACACAGCACAGCCCTCTCTGGTAGGGAAGGACACCTGATCTTTCTCTGCTGCAGTAACATTTGCAGGTCTTGTCCCTCCCCCCAGCCAGCGGAGAAGCAGCAGCAGACCCATGAGCTCATCTCTCTGTCACTCTGCTCTCACCTCCTGTCAACATGTTCCATGTTAGCACAGTGAGAAGTGCTTCTCATTGGTCAGAGTGGTCAGCTGACTGTGCTGACCAATGAGTGCTCGCCATTTGAGAGCGTAAGTCAAAGTCCATAGTGCAGGGCTGCACTGCACTACCATTTGCCCAAGGGCAAGTGTAGAAGGCGGAGGGGGGGCCAGATTTTAGAGTGTCAGTGGCCTCAGAAAGGGGATGCGCAGGGTGCGGCCCACACCCCCCCTATGACACCAATGTCAGTCATTTTGGTGTCACCCCCCTAAATCAGGCACTAGGTCAGAGCCCTCAGTCCTGATGCAAGCAGTGGGCCGGCTCTTGGGCGGAGTTATGCAAATATAAAAATGCCCTGATGGGTGGATGTCAGTATCTGCATGCAGACCAGTGGCATCACACGGGGGGTGCGGCCCGCACCCGGGTGACACCATAATGACTGACATTCTTTTGGTGTCACCACCTCTGAAAAGTCGAGGACTCTGTCCCAACATTGTCAGGAGAGAGGAGGGGACCCGGCGGCATACCACATCCCGCCGGGTGAACGTCCCCTCCTCTCCTTCCCGGCATCCATCACTAAGATGGCCGCCGGCAGGTATCATGTGCGACGATGTCACGGCGGGGTGTTACCCGGTATCCGCTTCGGGTGACACCTGGCCTCGGGGGCGCCCCTGATGCAGACCGCTGAAGGGGAGGGGCGGAGTTCAGATATAAGACTGAAGGGGCGGAGCTCAGATATAAGACTGAGGAGAAGGGGCGGAGCTCAGATATAAGACTGAAGGGGCGGAGCTCAGATATAAGACTGAAGGGGAGGGGCGGAGCTCAGATATAAGACTGAAGGGGAGGGGTGGAGCTTAGGTGTAACATTGTTGCTCTTTGTTTATTGAATATTTCCTTTTTGTTATTGATAGAACATGAAACTGAGAGGAAAGTCCTCGGGATGGACTTGTACGTCTGCCGGTCATGGAACCCTGTGTGGAGGGGATGGTCCTGCAGAGGGAGGTCCGGTGTACCGGGGACAGGGGGCGTGTTCTATATACAGGAAACATGAGACATATTTGTATATAGATATATATTCCTTGTAATGACCCCGTGACCTTCCTGAGACGCGGAATGTCCTCTTATCACACAGATATCCACGGAATGTCACACAGCCACTGGAGAGGTCACATGAACATATATAGACGTGTATACAGTGCGTGTGCCCCGGTCACATGACGCCCCTCGCTCAGACCTCTGCACTGAGATCTATAGCAGATACACAGGAAGTACCAAATCTTCTCATATCAGAACCCAGTCAGAGACTGCAGACATACTACGAGAGATGGTCAGAGACTGCAGACATAGTACAGGAGATGGTCAGAGACTGCAGACATACCACGAGAGATGGTCAGAGACTGCAGACATACTATGGGAGATGGTCAGAGACTGCAGACATAGTACAGGAGATGGTCAGAGACTGCAGGCATAGTACAGGAGATGGTCAGAGACTGCAGACATAGTACAGGAGATGGTCAGAGACTGCAGACATAGTACAGGAGATGGTCAGAGACAACAGACATAGTACAGGAGATGGTCAGAGACAACAGACATAGTACAGGAGATGGTTAGAGACTGCAGACATACTACAGGAGATGGTTAGAGACTGCAGACATGGTACAGGAGATGGTCAGAGACTGCAGACATACTACGGGAGATGGTCAGAGACTGCAGACATACTACAGGAGATGGTCAGAGACTGCAGGCATAGTACAGGAGATGGTCAAAGACTGCAGACATAGTACAGGAGATGATCAAAGACTGCAGACATACTACAGGAGATGGTCAGAGACTGCAGACATACTACGGGAGATGGTCAGAGACTGCAGACATACTACAGGAGATGGTTAGAGACTGCAGACATACTACAGGAGATGGTTAGAGACTGCAGACATGGTACAGGAGATGGTCAGAGACTGCAGACATAGTACAGGAGATGGTCAGAGACTGCAGACATACTACGGGAGATGGTCAGAGACTGCAGACATACTACGGGAAATGGTCAGAGACTGCAGACATACTACAGGAGATGGTCAGAGACTGCAGACATTCTATAGGTATGCATTAAAGACTGCAGACATACTACAGGAGACGGTCAGATTGGTGATATGTTACATGAGACTGCTGGAGATTTCTGTCATTACAGCCCCTTTATAGGTCAGTTATCTTATTACTGGCTGGCAGAGCTTAAGGGACAGCAAAAGGTCTGTATGCGGCCCTCAGGACTGAGCTTGGGCTACAAGACTCTAAGGGAACTAATGGAAGGGGCGGGCCAGACTGGACTCGGATTCACTGATCCCTCAGAGGACGCTCTCTGGTCGTACATGTCCGGTCCGGTGTAGTCACTCCATGAGAGAAATAAATCTCAGTCCTGGTATGGATCTCCGGAGTCCTCGTCCTCTCCCATTCCTCGAGCACTGGCGGAGCTGCTGACCTCTTGTTATCACAGTCTGCCCCGTCTCTGCCGCTCCCTCCCTCCCTGACTTCCTGCTCCTCGCTTCGCCTTCCTGCCGCCGCTCTTCACCCCTTTTCTATTTCTGTCTGAGCTCTGCGGACTCGAACAGTCGCACATTCCCTACTGCATACCAATAGTGGAGTCACATGAGGATTGTCCTGCTGCCCCTCCCCCCTCCCGCCATTGTGGTCCCTTATTATGGGTGCAGAGATAGTAATGGGTCTATACATCAAGTAGAACATTTTATTTCACCATCCGAAGCATTTACTTTGCACTTAAAGTGTTTGTCAAACTTTCTTCTCTCGTTAGGGTGGAATGGTGACGGATCAGAACCCGTGTTGGGTTTTACTGCTATCTGGGGCCCCATTAGGTACTGTTGTGGTGAAAACTGCCTGGAAACTGACTGTCCTTGCCTGCTGCCTGCCTTGACCTCTGCCTGGAAATTGACTGTCCTTGCCCACTGCTTGCCTTGACCCCTGCCTGGAAATTGACTGTCCTTGCCCGCTGCCTGCCTTGACCCCTTCCTTGAAATTGACTGTCCTTGCCCACTGCCTGCCTTGACCTCTGCCTGGAAATTGACTGTCCTTGCCCACTGCCTGCCTTGACCCCTGCCTGGAAATTGACTGTCCTTGCCTGCTGCTTGCCTTGACCTCTGCCTGGAAACTAACTGTCCTTGCCCGCTGCCTGCCTTGACCCCTGCCTGGAAATTGACTGTCCTTGCCTGCTGCCTGCCTTGACCACTGCCTGGAAATTTACTTTCCTTGCCCCCTGCTTGCCTTGACCTCTGCCTGAAAATTGACTGTCCTTGCCCGCTGCCTGCCTTGACCTCTGCCTGGAAATTGACTGTCCTTGTTTGCCGCCTGCCTTGACCTCTGCCTGAACCAGACAAATAGGCTTGCCTCTATTCTATCTCCTCATTATAGCTAGACCCTGGTGTGTGTGTGTGTGTGTGTGGGGGGACAATACTGTGGGGTGATCGTGAGGGTCGCGACCTGGTGGCATCTTGCTGCAAAGTGGCCCAGTAGCCACCAGGGTTACAGGCACATCATTACATGAGGGGTATTCTGGTGAAGGTGCCGCCAGGGTGGGCCCGCATTTCCTGTCAGAGATGAAAGGTTTTTTTTCTCCCTGCAGTACAGCTTCACTTACTTACAGCCTACATAAAGCTACATGTCCATTGAAGACTACCCTGTCCACAGGGTGACAATGCAGTTTGTTGTGCTGTCATATCAGGCAGCAGAGTTGTCACCCTGTTGAAGGAAGTAGAAAAATAACAGATCTACAGCAGAAAATGGAAGTCTCGGTCACCAGGCTAAGGCAGCCATGGAGCTGTGGGTGATGCTGGGAGGACCAAGAACCTGAAAAAGCATTCTGCAGGTGTACAATGGCCGTAAGCGTTCTTTGCCGAAACACAATAGTGTAAAATGTCACAAACAGCCGCACTGTCCAATGTGACTTCTGCAGCGAAAGGATTAAAAATGGCACAGAGGATGATGATGTCATCATGTATACATCATCTGTGGCTCATGGAACCAACATGGAAACCACAACTTGTTAGCATGCTTGTGCTGTGAGTCAGAGGGGGGGGGGGGGGGGGGGACAGAG